TGATAAAAGAACTGTTTGGGAAAAACCCCAAAGGTTTTTGTTTTATTTTAATGGTATGCTTCATCATACTGTGAGTGAATGAAATGTGGATAATTACTGTAAGACATACCAAGACTAGCCAAACAAAAATAGTAAGTCCAAGTAACTTAACTCATATGAAACAAGTTTATAGCTTTGCAGCACTCTTCCTTGTATGATCAGAGAAGTTAATACTGCTTTTGACTCAGTTTTTTTTCTGTAATTATAACGATAATTACATAAAATAACCTTGTGTTAATAAGTTTAACTAGTCCAGTCTTACAATTTACCATCTTAAATGATGATTGCCAAATAAAAATGCTGTTTATAACATCTTAGTAAATGCCAAAGTAAGCAGTTTTTTGCTTGGTAAACATGAATTCTAAAGAGATCTTGGTGTTGAAAGTAGGCTTAAGCATCTTACATCTTCCTATCAGAGATGGGAACTTTCATTTTGATTTCTCATTTATTTTAAAGAGTTAATGGCATATCTTAGTATTTAGCTTATAGTTATGCAGACTAAATTTATAGGGTTCATGGAAGTAGAGTTGGTACAATCCTAATGAACATAATATCTGAAAAAATAGGAATTAAGATGTCAATATTATGCTATGGACTTTGAGTAACCACCTTCATGTATCGTATTTTCCAGGTGCATAATACTGATAGTCCTTGCTTAATGACTGGTTGCTAAGCGATTGAAGTTACAGTGGAACCCCTGTAAGCTGCTTACAACCTGGTCCCAGAATTAGAGCTGCTGCAGCATCCCTCCAGGCATTTGCCTTTACAACCAATTGCAGGGACACTGCCAGCTCCCCCTATTTTATCCCCATCAAGTCCCGGCAGGGCTTGGACCTCTTTTCCATCCCCACCTCCCCAATCAGGCATCACATACTTACCTTTTGAAGATATTCAGAGCTTTCTGCCGCTCTGTGTGATCTGGGCAGCCATATGGCATGATTCCAGAAGTGACCACAATTGTTTGAACAGTCTTCTAGTCACTTGGTTGAGTTGGTAGTTTCTTGATTGATGTATTGTTTACCACTTGACAAATAGTAAACAACAGTAAACAATCAAGGAACCAAGAAGAAAACAACACTCCCATATTTGCAGAGCATGCCACTTACATATAAACCAAGAGCAACCCCTCTCCTTTCTAGCCCTGATGATGTTATCTAGTTAAGTAATGAAACGTGTGCAAGAAAACAACCAAGCTCAGAGCACCAACCACCCACACACATCACTCTTCCAGGACAAGAAAAATGATATTTTTTTAAACAAATACAAATTTGAAGTACCCAGTGTATATTAATTATAGGTGAACATAATACACATTTTGTAGCATATTTACAGATAAGTGTTTCCTCTATTTTATTTCTCCCATTTTCCTACTTAGAAAAAGAAAATAAGGCCCAAAAAGAAGAGTTCTGTAATAATGGAAAATTAAATGTTTGTTTCTGTATTTAACTTGCTCCAATAAAAGAACTACAGTACTGTTTCAGTTTTTTCTTTTTAACATACCAACATATGCTTAACATTTTAAAAGAAACTAATGAGATTATTAGATTATAAGATAATGCAAGAGAAACAGTGTCAAGGTTATGTTGACTCATAAAAGTAGGAATCTTTGAACTTCTCTAACCTCTCCCTTATGTAATTGTTGTACAATATTGTTTGAGGAGAAATGACCTTTAGAATGTACATTTGCTTTGTCACAGAAAAGGCATTTGTTTATAGGTAATACTTTATTTACACATATTTTTATACATCTAGTTTCAAGACTCCGGTAGTTTACTATATCCCAATAGATTCTATATCTTAAATCAAACCACATATCAGTCATTAACAAAAATCTTCCTTTTTACGACCTGTAGTCCCTTAATTTGAGATAGAATCGGCGGATGGAGCAGAGCATTTACTGGCTGGATGCCCTTCCTGACACCCTGCAGAGTTGGCAGCAGATATTTTTTGTTTGGCCCTACAGGATAAAAATCAGAGAACGATAGTACACAATTTATTGCATTCCTTAATGCATCTTTGCCTGTCTCATCCACTTACCCTCTGTTCCAGCACTGAAATGCCTTGCTAACTTAGTTCTTTTTAAAAAAAAAATTGCTGTGCCCTTATATTTATTCCCTCCACCCCATCCTGAGGAAGGTTAAGCTGAGGGCGACCAGCCCAAAGTCACTAATGAAACTTTTGTGAGTGAAGTGGATCCAGAAGATGAATGGCACTATTTAACCAGTGCACCACATTGGCTTTCTTTCAATGGAGATTCTCAATCATCCAGATCATGGTTGTCCCAAAGGTGCTTTTCAAAAAGCAGCTGGACTTAGTTTTTTTCAGTTCTGAAGAAGCTTCTTGGATGAGAAGTGAAACAATTTCAAGGAAAAAACCTCCAATTGGAAAACCACATTTAGGACACTCTGGCTTTCGCAAAAGCTCATAACAATGCCCCCAACTTTTATGCCAGCTTACTTCTGAGCTGGTCTAAGTTGAAGTATTTACCCACTGAGTAACAAAGCAATCTCCTCAGAACACTTACTTTGCCATGTAAGAGTCTGGGAAGCTCAGCCACCTCCAGGTTGTCCTGGACTGACTGCAGGACTGCCCCCTCTCATTTTCCCAAGGGGCTCTGCTTTAACTGCTGGAGATACAGCCTCACTAAGCTACCTTGAGAGTCCATGACACTTCTTCATATTGCTAACCTGTGCAGCTATATCCCACCGAGTAATCCCTGTTGCCCTAGGTCTGTGATGGTGAACCTATGGCATGCATGCCCAAAGTGGCATGTAAAGCCATGTTGCCTGGCATGTGCAGTCACCCGTTCCTCTTCCAAGCTTCTGGTGTGCATGTGTGCCCAATGATCAGCTGGCCTCAGCACGTGCGGCATTGCCAGAAACGAAGATCTGGACGGTCTTCCAGTGTGAGCATGCCAGCAGACTGTCATGCGTGCATGTGTGCTGGTAACCGGAATACTAGCTGGCCAGCACACATGCACGCATCGAAAAACAAGTTCATTTTCCAGCGAGCGCATGCCTCTTGGGCAGCTCGTCTTCCGGGTTGTGGCCCAGCCGAGCATGTGCGCACACGCTCGCTTTTTGGCACTCTGTGCCAAAAAGGTTCGCCATCAATGCCCTAGGTCAGTGATGATTAATCTTTTTGCCATCACATGCCAAAAGCGGGGGGAATGCGGGGAGTGGTTGTGCTTGCATGTGTGCGACCCCCCTGCCCTCTCCCCCTTGCTTTTGGCCCGTGATGGCATGGTGGACCCATTTTGTGCCCTCTTCAGACTCCAGAGGCTTTTTAGGAGCCTGGGGAGGGCGAAAATGGCCTCCTCCCCCGCCATGGACCCTCCAGAGGTGGGAAATAGTCCGTCTTCCAACTTCCGGTTTATGTGTTGGGCCGTTTTTGCCGTCTGGAGGCTTCCTCCGGAGGGAGAAAAATGGCCCAATGCGCAAACCAGAAGTCCGTTTCCGACTCTCGCTTTGTGTATTGGTTTTTTTGTGAAAACGGCCAAAAATGAAGGCCAAAATCTGACAGGGCAATGTCTTGAGTGCCTTAAGAAATGGCTCTGCATGCCACATGTGCCATAGATTCACCATCACGGCCATAGCTCTTCCTCCTCTCCACAAAGCACGGCTCCTTTGCGTGCCATGCGTCGATTTAAAGCCATGGTGACCAAGTGGTTAGAGAATGTGGCTAGAATGCAGGGTAGCCGGCTAATTTTGCTGACGGCCTGCATTTCAATTCTCACTGGCTCAAGGTGAGAAGCCTTCCATCCTTCCGAGGTGAGTAAAGTGAGGACTGATTGTTGGAGACAATACAGGTAGTCTTCAACTTACAACAGTTCATTCAGTGACCCGTCAAAATTACAAAGGCAATGAAAAAAGTGACGTAACTATTTTTCAGATATGATCTTTGCAGCATCCCCATGACCATGTGATCAAAATTCAGATGCTTGGCAATTGGTTCATATTTATGATGGTCGTAGTGTGCCAGCGTCATGTGTTCACTTACTGTGACCTTCTGACAAAGTCAATGGGGAAGTCAGATTCACTTAATAACTGTTGATAAGTTATTAACTGCAGCGATTCACTTAATAACTGAGGCAAGAAAGGTCGTAAAATAGGGCATAACACACTGAACAAATGTGTCACTTAACAGCAATTTTTGCCTCAATTGTGGTGGTAAGTTGAGGACTACCTCCACCCTGACTAAATCTCTTAGAGGGGCTGTAAAGCAGGTGAAGCGGTATAAGTCTAAGTGCTTTCCTTATTTAGAAGCAAGCAAAAATCATGGCGGCAGCTCCCCCCCCCTTTTTTTTTCCCCCCTGGAGATGTGGAGAAAACTCCGACAACGCATTGCACTACAAAGGATCTATCCTTCGCTTTGCAGGGTCGCTTTGTTTTCATTCCTTCATTGCTGCATTTATAAGCCGCCTTTTCTGTCCAAAGGCGGACGATGCGGGTGCCTCTTCATTTTAATCTCGCAACAATGGCAACAAGCTGTTTGGTTCGAAAGACTCTAAGTTCCCCGAAGACTGCAGTCCCGGTGCCCCGCCATCTCCCACCCTCTATAATTACATTTTTGGTCTCCGGTACCCAGAGCCGCTGCAGGCGGGCTCTGGTCCCGTCCTCCCCCCCCTCTCTTAAAACTGAGCATGTTTGCTTGGCTTGCGGGGGAGAGAAGCTTTGCTACGCTTAAGCTTCTGGCGCCCAGCTCGCCTCCCAAACCGAAGTCCAGTTGAGGATTTGGAGGTCAGAAGAAAAGCTTGCGAGGATCTTCGGTCTGCTCCCCCTTCAACGACCGGCCGAGGCGCTTCCACTCTCCCACCGAAGCTATTTCGAGCAAGGTCAGGTCAAAAGCGACGAAATATCTCCTCCCCGGAACTGGAGGCTGGAGCCGAGGCGGGAAACGGCCAGGCCTATTGGCGAGCGGGAGACAAGGAGGTGGAGCCGCAGTCGGCCGAGCCAGCCCGCCGCTCCTCCACTCCGGGTACCCGGGAAGCCGCCGTAGCTCATGGAGGGCTGGGCTAGGAGCTCGCTATGGGGGGCAAGGCGGCTGTGGGCTCCCCACGCCCACATGACGCGAAGCCGGGTGGTCTGTGGGCGCCCCTTGAATCTCTGGGCGTCACCTGGTGAGTCCAAGACCTTTTTCCTCGCCTCTTAAGCTGAGTGGCCCGGCCTCGGCGGGGTAACTGCGTGGGGATTTGGGGTTGTTGTTGGCCTTTAAACTCTTTGAAGATTTTTCGGAGGAGGAGGATGAGAAAAACCCCTTCGACGAGTCTCTGGCAGCCTTTGCCGAGTTTACCGCCACCCTTGGGGGGATTAGAGTGCTGATCTTCGGCCTGTCTTAAAAGCATCAGGTGGGAAGGCTGTGCGAGGTATATGGAGTTAGGCGGTGATCTGTTTGCCTGTCTATGGGCTTTAAAACTGAAAACCTTTCTCTCCCCCACTCCCCAATCGGACATAAACTGCATCTGATGCATTTCTGCCTAATTGCTGCTTGTTTGTCTGCTTCTGAGCCATTGTATTCCTAGGTGAAACTTATGCAGATCCATTGGCATTTGCAAACCCTCTTCTTCCGTATCGTTGTATTGGTTAAAAATATATTATTTCACAATTATTTCTCATGCTGAATTATAAGACTGATCATAATATACAGAATGTGGCATTTTGGGATGTGATGTCAGACTGGAATAAAATTTGCACAAATTTGCACAACTTTCTTTTTTAGTTGCAGCCATAGACAGGCAAAAATAAAACAACTGTCATAACAGAATTAAATTCTTACAAGCTAGCGATGGTGACACAAAGAATATAGACAATTGTTCCATTTTCAAATTAAGAAAAAAGTCCTTACTTGTAAACATGGTCATCAGTCCAAATACTTCTGAAGAATATTTGGACTGACTAGCCATGTTTATCATTACTAGCAGGTAAGAATTTAATCCAAGTACTGACTGACTTTTAGACCTCATATAATCCTGGGATTAATGTTTTCGGGCAAAGCTAAATCTTCAGAGCAGAGTCCTATTTATCCTGCTCAGTCAGTGGTAGAGATACATACCAGTAATAAATGAAATAGATTAAGAGAGATAAATAAGTTTGCCTTTTGATATGTCTTTTTACACCATTAATCTGTACATCATTAGTTGATTAATTTTGTACATATACCTACCTACATACTTAGATATGTATATAATACATTTTGTAGATAAATAAATAATTTTATTTAATATTAATAATTTTAATATTAGAAGTGAGGGTGAGTGAGGTGGAACTTGACCAAGAATGCTAAACACTATAGAAACAAACATGTGTTTGTGACATTAGGTATAATGTCATATTTCTCGATTGTTCAGTTTTTGTTCAAAAATGAATTTAAAATGTAAAGTAAAAATAAAATTGGAATGCATATGAAGCAATGCCTTAAGTATTAAGATAATCACTTCACAGTGCACATATGTAATTCTGATATTTCCTGCATCCAATATTCTATAAATGGAATTCCATTCACTCTCCTGTCCCCCCCCCCCTCTCTATATATATATTCTGTAAACATCTCTGCAGATCTCAGGGATGAATGGGAAATTGGGGAAACGAGGAATCGGGTTTGCTAATGGATTTTAGTCAACCAATACTTATTATTGGAATTAGTCTGTGCTCACAAACAAATTTATTATGCCATTAACAAATGTGCCCTTAATAATATGTTTCCTATAATAACTCTTTGGAAAACCTGTAAGTTAAAAGTATTACTTTTTATCAGATAATCGCAGAAGTCAACTTCATCAAATATTTCAAGAAACCTTTTCTATTAAAGTTCAGTTAAGCGATGGTGAACTTGTAAATTTGACTAAAGTGAGAAACAAAATGTAAGTATAGTATTTTGATTTACTGGTAATTATTATTTTTATGGAAAATGTGCTTCATAATAAATTACATTTGTAAGAACATTCTAATAAGAATGGCAATTCAAGTTGTTCTTTTTTAAATAGTGTACATATGTAGGAAATTATAGTGGACTAAATTAAAGCCCTCTGGATGCACTGGGACTTCCAATTTTGGTCACCATGATGTAAAAAAGATGTTGGAACTCCAAAAAGAGTGCAGAGAAGAGCAACAAAGATGATTAAGGGATTGGAGGCTAAAACATATAAAGAACGGTTACAAGAATTGGATATGTCTAGTTTAATGAAAAGGATTAGAACTGACATGATAGCAGTGTTCTAATATCTAAGGGTCTGGCAAAAAGAAGAGGGGGTGAACCTATTCTCCAAAGCATCTGCAGGCAGGACAAGAAGCAATGAATGGAAACTAATTAAATTGAGAACTGACCTAGAACTAAGAAGAAATTTCCTGACAGTTAGAGTAATCAGTAAAACAACTTGTTTCCAGAAGTTGTGGTGCTCCATCACTGGAGGTTTTAAAGAAGAGATTGGAAAAACATTTGCCTGAAATGGTATACGGTTTCCTGCTTGATCAGGGGATTTAACTAGAAGACTTCCAAGGTTCCTCCCAATTCTTCTTCTGCTTACTTGAACTTTCACTTCTTCCAACAAGCCAAGCATCACACTAGATGAAGAACATTATTTCCCCAGCATACGGCTTATAGCAGTGATGGCTAAGCAGTGATGGCTATTAGAAAGAGAAGCTTTTCTTTTGCTGTTTCAATTCTCTCATTCATATTTTTATATATTAGTGTTGTGTTGTCCTAAAATAAAAGCCCCAAATGTCTCAGCATTTTCTCAGAAATCACTTTCATGCCTAGAATGAACATTGGTTCCTGCTGCAATCTAAATTTATCTACTACTACCACTTTTTGAATAGAATGAAAATTATAGTATTGATATTATAGTATTGAAAATTATATACCTGTATGGGTTTGACAAATCCATGTTTTCCGTAAACAAAGTTACTTGTTGTTGCACTTTACAATCATTTTTGCTAATTGTGTATGTCCTGATGAAACTTTTGTTTAGAAAATTTACAGGTCAACCATACAGCACTTGGCAAACAGTAGATCCAGAAGAACTTAGAAGATTCCAACGGCTGGCACACAAGTGGTGGAATGAGGATGGAGAATATGCAGCCTTGCATTCTATGAATGATATTAGAGTTCCTTTTATTAGGTAATTTTTAAAAATACGTTGATATTTTCAAGCTCTTGCCAGAAATTTGATATTAGCAAGAATTATCAACTTTTGAAACTGAATCATAGCCTTAGTTCCTACTATTTAGTTAAAGCTTGTGTGGATCCCAAAACTAAAATATAATGGATAGAAAATGTCTACACATCCCTGTTAAAATGCCAGTTTTTTGAGATGTAAAAAAAAAAACAGACCAAAATAAATCACTTCAGAATTTTTTCCCCACCTGTAAAATAATGTAAGCTGTACAATTCAATTGAAAAACAAATTTTGAAAATTTTGTAGGAGAATTTTTTTAAAAAAAATCTTACATTTACATGGTTGCATAAATGTGCACACCCTTAAACTAATACTTTGTTGAAGGACCTTTTGATTTTATGACAGCATTCAGTCTACCAGTATGGAACATCTTGCCTTAAGAATCTTTGCCTATTCTTCCTTGCACAAGCGCTCCAAATCTGTCAGATTGTGAGGGCATCTCCTGTGTGCAGCCCTTTTTTCTGGCCACCCCATACATTTTCAATTGGATTCAAGTCCGGACTCCCTTTGTTGATTTCGATGTATGATTTGAGTACTTTGAGTAGTGTTGAAGGTGAATTTCTTCTTTCTCTTCAGCATTTTAGCAGAGTCTGTAGGTTTTGTGCCAAAATTGACTGAGTGGAACTGTTCCTAATTCCCTCCACCTTGACTAAAGCCCTGGTTCCAGCTGAACAAAGCAGCCCTGAAGCCAGTGATGGGTTCCTATCGGTTTGGACCAATTTGGCCGAACCGCTAGTGATTTGGAACTGGAACCGGCAGCGACCCAGGCCTGCCATGCCCTTGAACTGGTTCCCCAGGTGCCGCCATCTTGTTTTTCAGTTCTGTGCATGTGCAGAACAATTTTAATTGCACTTCGCATGTGCGCACAATGTGCATCAAGCGTGTGTGCCCACAAAGCACACTGATGAGCGAACCAGCAGTAGTGCCTGCCGAAACCCACCCCTGCCTGAAGCATAATGCTGCCATCATCATACTTCATTGTGGATATGGTTTATTTTTGGGTGATGCAGAGTGTTCTTTTTGCATCAAACATACTTTTTGGAATTATGGCCATTCAACCTGATGTCTTCAGACCATAACACATTTTCCCAAAAGCTTTTCTCACATTTGATGTAGGTTTTTGCAAAATGTAGCTGGGCTTGGATGTTTTTCTTTGTAAGAAAAGACTTCTGTCTTGCACCCTACCTCACAGCTCATACATACAAAGACTTTGGGAGATTGTTGTCCCATGTAATACACAATCAGTATTTGTCAGAAATTTCTGCAGCTCCTTTAATGTTGCTGTAGACCTTTTGGCAGCCTCTTAGATAAGATTTCTTCTTTTTCATCAATTTTGGAGGGACACCCAGTTCTTGGTAATGTCACTGTTGTGCCATCTTTTCTTCATTTGTTGATGACTATCTTCACTGTGTTCTATGGTATATCCAATACTTTGGAAAGCTTTTTGTACTCTTCTCTGACTGATATCTTCCAACAATGATATTGCATTGATGCTTTGTAAGCTCACTTTCATTGATGGCAGGTGTGTACTGATTACTATTTAATATCAGTTTGAGTGTGATTGGTTAATCCTGAACACAGCCACATCCCTACTTATAAAATAGTGTGCATACATATGCAACCATGTTACTATGTTTTTATTTAACCTTGAAATATTTGTTTGTTTTTAAATGAATTGTATAGCATATATGTTATATGAAAGGTGGAAACAATTCTGAAGTGATATATCTTGGTCTATTTTTTTTTTTATATCTCAAAAACCTGCCATTTAGGAGGGATGCGTAGATTTTATATCCACTGTATGATTAATGGTAAATTAAACAAGTAGTACAGTTTTCTATATATGTCAATACATGAGAAATCAGTCCCTGAATTACCATCACCGTTTGCAAGATGGTGACAATATTAATTAGACAATATTTTAATCAGTTACAGTACATTTTTCTGAGTGTTGCTTCTGGAGGTATGCGGTGGTAAAAATAGCGTATGTTGAAAACAAAGGTGTTGATAATAAATTGATTTTTCCCTTTATGGCACTTTGAAAGAATAAAATGTTGCAGTTGTGGTAATATGCAAGTGTCTTGTTTTTTTGTTTTAACTGAATCGTATTTGTTTTCTATTTTGTGTAAGAGATACTATATTGAATCTGAAAAATGAGCATGAGCTAGGAAGCCCACTCTTTAACATGAAGATCCTAGACGTTGGCTGTGGTGGTGGACTACTTTCTGAGGTAGCAATTGTACATTTGATGATGATGAATGTCCTTCTGCCTTTAATTAATAGGAGGAAACGCCAAGCTTTTAAATATTTTTTTATTTCTTTAAAAACCTTATTTAGTTAAAGTTAACTCTCCTTGAAACCACAAAGACACTTGCTTTCAGCATCATGAAAATTGCTATTATATTTTATCCAGATTAGGTAGCGAGTAAGAAACAGGCTACATGTTTTATATTGCCATTTAGCACAGGAAACCTGACCCTTACCAGCCAGCAAAACACTTCATCAGGGGCTGGGTAGCTGGTTTCACCATTGCTGATTATAGAGGGAACTCCACCATCTGCAGTAGGTTATTAAGATAGAAACTAAGAAGGGAGAGATCAGGGTTGGTGTACACTTATCTTCCCTATTGGTTTGCAAATGTGAACTTACATGCGCATAGGCTTCCGCCTATGTGGGTTTGGTGAAAAAAGAGCCTAAATGGGATGCCATAGAGCTGGGGCAGATGGGTGAGGCCACCCGCAATTTCCGCTACCGTTTTGGATGAACCGGTCCAAACGGTTAGAATACTACCTCTAGAGAGTATATGGCAAATGCAAGGGGATTTAATATGCCTGTGCTTGTGAAGATGTACCAGCATTAGAATGACTCTATACAACCTGTGTGATTCCTAACTCAGAAATTGTGCATCTCTTGGCTATGATAGAATGTTTCCCAAACACTACAGTATGGAATGTTGGCTTTAAATCTTTCTGCTTTATTGAAACTTCCACCACATTTACCATTACTCCATGAGTGATATTAAATTTCAGTTTTGGGGAGATGTCCTTTTTCCCTCCCTAAACTTTTAAAAATGATATTAGTATACTTTAATACTGTAATTTCAATTTAATTATAATTATATATGTCTCATTTAATCAATTACAAAATAAGAGGCAGAATTAGTCTAAGCCAAAGGAAAATGTAACTGTTAACAGGTCTAAAAAACATTTTTTTTTGGGGGGGGGGGGGATCGCGCCAACATTTTAGGAATACCCAACTTGAGGCTAATCAATGAAAAAGTTCCATAATGCAATATTAGGATTCATATTTTATTAGTGCAATATTTATTTTTAGAGGGCAAGGAAGCATGAGCATTAAGCTTAAGTAACTTTAGATATATTTGTCAATGATATGGAGACTTCTTCATAGTTTAATACAGGATAAAATGATATATTTATGGTATTAGCCCCTTGCTAGACTGGGAGCTTCAGTTACTGGAATTGATCCTTTGGAAGACAGCATCCGGACAGCAGAACTGCATAAATCATATGATCCAGCCCTTACCGAAAGGATTCAGTACAGAGCCTGTGCACTGGAGGATATTGTGGAAGAGGGATCAGAAAAATTTGACATAGTTGTTGCCTCTGAAGTAGTAGAACATGTGGCTGACGTTGAAAAGATCATCGAATGCTTTGGAAAAGTATTAAAAGTAAGTTTTAAAATGGTAAAGTAGATCTCAGTGCTATACTTTCTTTTTACTATAAAGATCTTTTTCTTTTCTTTTTTTGCATTTATGTTTTTTTCATTTTAGTGGCTCGTTGCTCTAAGGTAAAATTTAGCTCATAATATATTCTGATTATCTAGACTGAATGCAATCAGGAGTGTTCCCTTCATAGTATTCCCTTTCTATTCTGAAAATATTTATCGAGGCAATCTAAATAGTGAATACATATGAATTTTATTATTTTATTTTGTACAGTACTCACTTTTTTCAGCTACATGACTTTTTTTTCAGTAGAGTCCTTTTATCCATATGCAGATGTCATTGACTTAAACTTTTTGTATTAACTTTTTTTAACCAAATCTTGTAATTATATTCTTTATATGTTTTTTATTGATAGTTGTATAAATAACCAAGTTGCAAATTGGCTTTTGTTTTACATTAGCCCGAAGGTTCCCTCTTTATTACCACAATAAACAAAACTCAACTGTCCTATATTCTTGGCATTATCGTTGCTGAAAAGTTACTGGGTATTGTTCCGGATGGCACTCATGACTGGGAGAAATTCATATCACCTGAAGAGTTAGAGCGTCTTCTGGAATCAAGTAGGTATTATGTTTCAAGGAGGAAAGCAATCATGTGGCATCCTTTAAATATAACTACTTGTTGACTTTGAGTTATCTGTAACAAAGATGTTGTGTAAAGAAAACACACTTCGGTCAGATGATTTTGAAAAATGAAAAGTTAATACTCTGGTAGTGCATCTTTGCTCAACCTGGTCTCTTCCAGATCAGCCAATTCATTGTTAGCACTACTGGTTGAGAATTCAGGGAGTTGAAGTCGTAAGACATCTGGAGAATTCCAAGTTGACGGATAGTGTAACAGCAATTTGGTGCCTTCCTGATAAGTTGATCTGTAACTTTTATCATTACTGATTCATAGGAGACTTGAATAAAGCTGATTATTTTAGAGAGGAGATTAAAAAAATGTTCCTTTGGCATGAACCTGTTTTTCAAAGGGATATTTCATTCCATGTTAAAATTCTCTGATTAAATACTTTGCAATTTTAACATCAGCTTAACTGCTACTACTACTATTTCCGCTACTACTACTACTACTACTACATTATATATATATTCCCCATTGTGTTCATGTTTGTGTTTTCATAATCCCTTCCTCTTCAATTTCTTCATTCTTCAGTGGGAGGAGGGGAGAATAAAAAAAGTCAACATGCAAGAGATTGTTTTCAGAAATTGCTTGGGTCCCGTGTCCCCCTTCCCCCGGTACCCCAGGGTGGAGAGATTGGAGAGGAAGGGATTATAAAAAAGTAAGACATTCAATGGAGAATAGTGTTCCATGGTGCACTTGGGAATTCCTGTTTGCATAGTGTACTTGGGACTCCCAGCACCAGCACATTGCTTTCAATGTGTTTTCCCCACTGTCTGTTTACTTTCTCTCTTGCCAATTTATACGAATACAAACATTAGTTCCCCTCCTGCTCTACCCAAATGCCAGTGTGATCACTCCAAAGGAGAGTGAGTGAGTTTGGAAGCAGAAAAAAGCCAGATGTGTAAAACTGATTAGTCTTTATCATGTTCAAGCTGACTATCACGGCAGGACCAGCTGAGCTTCCCAAAGGGTGGAGGAGTTGAGAAAAGGAAAGCACAGCCATGGTCACATGGTTTCCCACTTAGTGACCTCTTCACTAAGCTTCACAGAGCTGCTGGTTCCAATTGTACTCGATAAACGAGGATTACCTATGGTAATTTCACCATTGCGTCAGAATTATATTTCAGGAGCTTGGAGGCATTCAGTATAAATGATAGCATTCTAAAAAATAAATTGTCTTCAATCTGTCCCCTTTCTTTTCCTTATCTGCAGATGGTTTTTCAGTTAAGATGGTGAAAGGCATGTTATACAACCCCCTTTTTGGATCCTGGAGTTGGACTGAAAACACTAGCATTAACTATGCACTCCATGCAATTAAATCAAGCACGCAAGAACAACTGGATCTGAAGGAAGCCTCCACAGAGCATCAACAAGCAGAAGCTAACATCAGAACTGCTAGCTAAGACAAAGTCCATAGTTGCTACAGAAGCACAGAAGAAGATGTGATAAATAGCTATAATAAAGGGGCAATCAACCTTGTTTTCAAAGTGTTGGCTAAAGGATTTGCTGCCATCTCAGCATACATGGTAGAGGAATTATTGTTCATAGTATCAGATATTTGTGGATAAACATTCTGTGCAACATGCTGGAAGTCTGAAACAATTGTCAGAATGACTGCTCTTAAGACTTTAGAATTATTGGCTTTTATTGACATTTGTAAAATCATTACTCAAATTCAACAGGTGGCCTGTTTTTAAATGTAAAATCATATACATCGCTAACTTGGTTTTTTTTCTTCCTTGAGCATGATGTTACAGCTCTAAAGAAAGAGAGGCCAAATTCTATGTAAAGACCAATTTTTTTGAGCCTAGAATTCATAACTGGAAGTTCCAAGTTAGCCATTTATTCAGATACTATAGGGCAGTGTTTTTCAACCACTGTGCCGCGGCACACTAGTGTGCCGTGACATAGTGTAAGGTGTGCCGTGGGAAAATTACTTTATATATAGTCAATATAGGCACAGAGTTAAATTTTTTTAACATTTTCTAATGGTGGTGTGCCTCGTGATTTTTTTCATGAAAAAAGTGTGCCTTTGCACAAAAAAGGTTGAAAAACACTGATCTATCTATCTATCTATCTATCTATCTATCTATCTATCTATCTATCTATCTATCTATCTA